AACATATACCCTCTTGAGGTTGAGATCTTCACAAGGTCGAATGTACCGAAATTATTAATATTTTTTTTTAAACCTATTTATTGAAAAATATTACAATCTATCTCAAGGACATTTATAATAGTGATCAGAGATCACATTCACACTCTATGTACAATAAATTTTACAGAAAAATAATATATATAAAATAAATAAGAATAAAATAACCTAAAAATAAATAAATAAAAAGAACACATACATACCTACCGAAATTACTAAAATATTTATACTTCATTCATTCTTATAAACAGTCACAATTAAAAGAAATAATATCCAACAAAAAGGGAGGGATATTTTTTTTTTTCGTTTTATCCATTTAAGCAAATTCAATTGAAGAAAGTGAAGAAATTACCTATTAATTATTTTTAAAATTTATTTTATTGTTTTTCTATGAAGTATCATTTTAATACAACTTAATTTTTTTACTATAGACAGAATTCAAAATCAATACTTTAAAAGTTATATTTTCAAATGCTAAAACTTGTGTTTTTAATTAACAGTTATGGAAAGTTTTAGTATATATGGATATACTCTCAACAATATAAACGACATTTACAGTTTTTTTTTCAACACTTCATTTAATGGATAGAACTATGAACTAGTACACACTAATTTAACGGAGCCGAGATAACTTTCAAAATTCAATCAAAGCAACATCGAGCGTAGACAGTACTTGGACAGCTGACTGTCCACCAGAAAAAGCCACAGATTCCTTCCTCTCTCCCAGGTATATGAGGTCCGTCAGTCTACCGAATACTACAACAATAGGAGCGATTAGCCTAAACCGTTTACTTCAATCAGGATTTGGTATGTGGTCTTCCAGGATGTAAATAGCCATCCGCAGGTATATCATTCCATGAATCATGATTTCAGAGAAACAAATATAGGTAATAGTGCGCCTGCTGATTCTAAGCAGCCATAATCCATGGATATAGGCCGATTTATCACTGCCCTTGAACCTGAGTGAGTCGGTAGAAGGACAAAGCCAGATTGGACCCAAAGCGATCTGTTATAGGGCTACAACAGTCTACAACAAAAATCGAAACAAACGAAAAATAACTATATTTATAATAAATATAGTTATAGTTATAATAAGTTGTTTAATAAGTATAATTCATTATTTTTAAATTTTAGAGTATAAGCCCTGGAACAGTTCGATCATCTATGACTAATTGGTTTCTTGAGAAGATGCCAGAACTCGCTTGTCTGGAACCAAAGGACATAGTCGAACCAGTAATATTCGCTTTATCATCACCAGCTAACGTTAATGTAAGTTACTTTATCAGTAATCATAACTCTGGACTAAATGTATCATGCATGTTAAGTTTATTTAACAACAAATTATTTATTTATTTTTATGAACTTTACGGTTTAATAAAATGTTTAAATATACATTTAAATTAGATATTTAAATTAATTACATATATTTATTCACTTTAAGTTTTATAAAATGTTCATTTACCTAGATTAAATTATAATTTTACAATTTTTTCAGATATCTGAAATAACAGTCGAACCAGTATGAGGCAGTCTTGAAAAAAATCCAGAACATCTTTAAGTCTATTTCTATTCTATAAAATGATTATGGATCAAATGATAACATATAATAAAAAATAAAAAAATCCTATTCTCTTATATTTTCTCTTTTTTTTGCCAAATAAATAAAGTAATATTATAAGATAATTGTTTGGATTTTTTTTTTATTGAGTAATATAACATTATGTTTATAGTGAGGTAAGACCACATTCACACTATATATACATAAACATATAAAATGAACAGAAGCAAAATAACGATTTTATTTATTTATAAATGTTTTGGGCTCTTCAACCACCTGGGGCATTTTCGTCCTATATTACATAGGCATACATAACAAAACTACAGCTAACAAATAAAGTTTAGAAAGTTAAAAATAGTTGCAGATGAATGTGATAGTACAATTGAATTGAAGTTATAATAATTGAAAGTTAAATATTAAAAGAAGATCAATTAACAAAGACAATCAAAATTAAGGTTAATGATTTTAAGAACAAAAGCTAAAAATACGTGTTTAAGAAATAAAAATTAATATTAATTGAAGATAGTTTAAAGAGTACAGTTTAAATACTAAAAAGTAAAAGAAGAAAAGTTGACAAAAAAGCATTACAATTAAATATTAAAAAAAGATAAGTTGACAAAGACATTTAAATAATAGGTTAATGATTTCAAGAATATAATCTAAAAATACAATTTAAAAAATAAAATAAATATTAAAAGAAGGAAAATAAAAAACTAAATATATATAAACTAAAAAAATAAATATTAAAAATTTCAAGAAGAAAAATTGAAAAACCATTATAATTAAAAATAAAGATTAAGAGAAGAATAATTTACAGGTATATTTACAATTTGAAAAGGAACCTATAGACTTAAAAAACTTAACAGGAATATTTACAATTAGAAGATGTGATTAAATTTTGTACAAATTTGTAGATGTGATTACAATTTTGTGAAATATTTTGATTTCCTTAAGAAACAATATTAAGTTTTTTATAACATTGGGGTCCTTTTGGAGTGATTCTTCAAGGCTATTTCTAAAAAGATGTTGGTCCCTAAGAGATTGGAATGCATAACATTCGGTAAGATGTGGTTCACTGTCAGATTTAATTACAATGAAAGAGTAAAATTAATTTTTCAGCATCTACCGTATTACTTCAAGATTTCCTCCAGAATAGGAGATTTTCCTTACTCTAAGTCATTGTATCTCAATTCCACTTTTCAGATAACTGAATAATCGATACATAGATTTTTTTTTTATATTAGTGTGCTACAAGTGGGTAGTTTCTCATCAACAAGTCATTTTATGTCGTTCACGTTCAGTAGCTATATTTTCATTTTAATATTGTTTCAAATATAATAAATGAAAAAAAAAGGTTTTAGAATAATAATAAAATATGCCACAATCAATACCAATAGATTATCAATACCAATGTTAGCGCAATAACATAAATATAAATTCATATAATTGCTATGTATTGTAGAGGCTATTATAAGATTTAAAAGATATTTAAAATTTTAATACAAAAGAATTGCCAGCACAGGTTCGGTAAGACGAGGAGACCTTCGTGACCTTTGTAAGGTTTTCGCCGACACTCCGCCTGGTGGACTTTAAAGCGCTAATGCATTCCATTAGCATAAAGTAAACAAGTTCACAACCTCCTGGGCTTCACCTGGGATCGAAAATAAAGCAGGACGAAGGATAGGCGGAATTCTCTTCCCCTAGTAGAAATTGAAGGCACCAATAGAAAGAGAACGGGAAAAAATCGATTGGTGGATAGAAAAAATGAGGAGGAGCCAAGCCGAAGAGTTCTTGGCGAAGTCAGTTCCAAGACAACAGAGGGACAGTTAAATTCAGTGTGTGACACACAGTAGTCCTGGTTGGACACAGTCATAAAGGTGAATAAAGGAACTTCAGTCCAAAGAGTCAAAACACCAAGATTTCATAAAAATTAAAAATACAAATGTTTCCCTACCAAATCAGCTGCTAGACTCAAGAATCAGGAAAATAATCGTTAGAAAATTAAATTATGAATGTATTATTCCTAAAAATGTACGAATGCATCATCCCTGTTAATTATGAATGCATTGTTCCTAAAAATAACAACTATGAAATATCAAGTTCCCATCTTGTTGCCCGGGATAGAAATGAGTGGATGAGGTTAATACCCTGGAGCCAGGGCCCAAAAATCGACCTGATCGCAGGCGAAGGTTTGATTGTAAATTACGAAAGTTTATGTTATTCTGCGTAAAAAGAACCTTGTCTGCCGTTCCAGAGCCGCTCCTTTCAAAAATGGCGGCTGATTTAAAGAATATTAGGCCAATAATTTGAGCATCGAAACTAGAAATCCATTGCGAAAAATGTGAGAAACGTTTTTATTTTTTTTTAACTTTAACATGTAAAAAGCAAAATTGCTAACGCAGGCTACCAAGGGAAAACTTTTTAAAGCCAAAAAAGTCAGATTTTTTCGATATGTTTTGGGTTTTTCACCCATAACTCCTAAACGATGTATCAAAGCAAAAAATGTATACTTTAATAAATTAAAGAACGTTAAATTTTGCGTCAAACGAGTACATAAAATTTGGTTATGCGGCAAGGTATAAAACCACGGTCAACCAACGCTGAGTTTTACCAAATTTGTCAAAAACTGAGACAAATTACTATAAATGGCTCTGCAACTTGGAAATGAGTTCCCTAAGAGGAAAAACCCATAGAATCAAAGTTATAGAGCATCAAATTTTGCGTATAGTGAAAACTAAAAATACTTACTTATGAATGGTATATTTTATTTGTTTGTTTTCATATAATGTTTTGGAGACTTTTCGATCGCTGAGTCAATTACGCCCCAAATTACAGTTAGTAAATGAACTACAACAAATACTTAAATAATGAAACTAGGTATAGATTACAAATAATATTTTACAATTGTCTAATATAAATCAAGGAATAAAAAATAGTTACATAATAATTTAGAGATGGTTGTCCGTGATATGATAGGAGAAGGAGTTGGTCGGGGGTTGCTGTCAAAGAAATACTAAATTATATAAAATAGTATTTTTAATTGTTACGCTGACCTAGTTTTAATTTTAGTATTATTTATTCTAACATTTTTATAGTTAGAATAATTAAAATTGTATGTGAATAATAATAAAAAATAAATAAATATACATTTTGCAATCAGTCAGTCAGTCAGTCAGTTAATAGTTTTGGTTTTTTTAGAGTTAATATACATTTTCGACAATGTAATAAGTGAATTATTTTATAAAACTATGAATTTGTTATTTCAACAGTAAAAGAACTAATGGTTATGAAATAATTATATTTAGTAATAACTACTAGTTTATTCAGGAGTTTTATGTATATCCCCTAGTTGATGATGAGTGGACGGGTATAATAACGTTGAGTCCAGTGGTGGTGGGGATCAGAGATGGACCGGTGGAGCAACAGAGTGGCCGTGGTTAGCGGAGCCAGCGAGGGCATAGGGGAAGCCATCGTGCGGCGGCTGGCTGCGGAGGGGATGAAGGTGGTAGCCCTGGCCAGGAGGGAGGAAATGCTCAAGGTGAGTCCCGATCAGCGGCTGAGGGAGGAGTAGAGGAAAAGGAAATTCTATGTCTCAAAGAATGCACAGGTGTCCATTTTGTCTAGGTGCATGTTTGATATTTGGATCTCTTGATTTCAACGCAGAAGTGGTTTATACTTTCCAGTTTTCCTTTTTAACAAAACCAAAATATTCCTAAAAATAAAGCCAAAAAAAAAAAAAAAAAAAGAAACTGCCGGATTAAAACAGGGTGCTTGATCAATTATCGGCTGTTGTTTATTATATGAAAATTCTATCCCTCCCTCCTCTCTCCCCCCCCCAAAAAAAAATCTTTTAGTATCATTAAATCCATTAAAAATACCATTCAAACTATTCGAATCTGGTCTAGTGTATTTCTATTTCCAATTTGTCTATTTGGTTAGAAAAGTGGCGTGGGTGAAAGGAATATCCCTACTTCTTGCCCAAGTCGGATTTTAAAAAGAAGATATTTTTAAGTTTCTAAAAAATCTAATTAATTAATAATCAACAAAAGTAAACCATTATTTCACTCCCCCACCTTTCTAGAAAAAAAATACAATACAATACGATTCTTTATTAACCATAAAACTCTTTATTACGTTATATAACATATTCAGTTATCTAAAATGTTTTGGACTTATTTTAGCCATTTTAAAAAAAAATCATATCCCTACAATGTTTTCCACTTTAGTATAAAAACATTTTATAATTGTGGATTGTTTGTAAACTGTAGTGAAGAATTGAAGAGAAAGGTGGTTGGTAAATAATTATATTTATTTATTTAATAAATATAATTATATTTATTTTTTACTATATTTTTTTTACTCATCATCCCAACTATTCTTCTCTTCAATAAAAGATATTCATTTTGGATTTTTTTATTTTTATAAACATTACAAAATCTTCATAACTTTTAGGTGGGTGGTAGTTATATCATAATTTTATTTCTGAACACATATTTTATTCCATAAACATTAAGTCAAACACAAAATTTAATAAAATATATAAACTTTTAGCTTTATCAAAATAAATATATTTTATTTTCATCTAGTATGCTAGAGATTTGTTTCTTATTGCTAAAAATATGTTGTTTTGAAAGGTTCAGTTTTATATAAAATATTTATCATTTTTTAAAAACAAATGTTGATATTTACTTTACACAGAAATGCACTCTTTCTCTTTACAGAAAAAGAACACACAATCAAAAAATTTTTAGTTGGAATATACATATTCAATATAAGCATTGATACAATACAAGAGTACTTTAGACTATTGAAAGAAATTTTCAATGTCACATAAAACTAATGTTTTTTTTTTGTTTTTTAGAACAAACACATTATTCATTAAATTACAAACAATAACGATATTATACATTAGACTTCTTTTTCGCATTGTTGTCAATCTAGATTCTATTTTGTCATTCCAGCGGTTGACATTGAGAACGCACAGACCTTCAAGAAAAGTAGTCATTAACTCAGCCTTGAAATTGCATGACAGTTAGAAACATCGCCTGGTTATGTAATAACATACATTTGTGTACATCGTTAAATTTTGATAGCCCTTTATACGATCAAAAACAATAAACATGAGTATTTATGAGAAATATATCATATATATAAATATATAGACTATATATATTTAAAGAGCAATACGTCAAAAGTAAACTTCTTTTTACAAAATTATTTCTAAAAAAAATAAGCCGATTCGTTTCTTGCAAGGCAATGTTTAAGACATATTATTTTCGAAAATGAATTATGGCCTCAATTGAAAAAAATTAGCCTTTAATCAAATTATTATTGTCAAATTAGTTCAATGCATAATTTAATGTAATATGTATAAATTATTTTTCTGTAATAAATCGATAGCTAATTGAAAAAAAATAAAGGTTGTTCAAAGTCTGCAAAGGTAAACAAGTGAACTAACGGAATAAAATACACATTTAAGTAATAATAAAATATTACAATAATAATATTCAAAGGGACTTACCTAAAAAAAATATTTGACACTCAATTTTTATTTGGTAACAGATTGTCTTGTTATAATTAACGTTTGTAGGCTAAAATAAATAGGTTTAAAATAAACTAGAAATACATGAAAAAAATATATTACCTATGAATTATTATTTTTTATTTATTTTTATAACATTCCGTATCAACCCAAACGGGTTATAATTAATTATTAAAACATTAATTAAATTGAATAATGAATAATAAACATGGCTATTTTTTGGGATTGTGAATACAAAGATTAAATAAATAATTAAAATAGCTTTTATGAAATTTATTACATTTTAAATTATTTCTTTATTATCAGCAAACACAGCTATAGAGGTAGGTAAACTGTTTTGTTCAGGCTTCAGTATACTCCACATGTTGTTACCACATGTCTCATAGTAATTGTAGTGTTACATGATTCACCAAATGACGGTTCCAGGTGTGTCATTAAATAACCATGAATGAATGCTGTATGTCCGGTTCTCAGCCTTGACAACGTTATTTCTTTAGATCCTATATTTCAGAAAAATGTTGTGCACCGTAGGATTCCTTGTATTTTTTCTTTTCCGTTTTTTTTGCGATTGTTCCTGTGAGATTAATTTGCAATTCACTGACATATTCAGTGTTGGTAAGATATATTGTCGTCTCAGTAACATTCATCATGGCGAGATTCACTGTCCTTATTTATCAATGTATTTTTTAACCCTGTCCTGTCTTTTAGGCCAAACGAATATTTGATGAACGAATGGAATTTCAAACATTTTTATCAAATTATTAACATCCGCTTGAAACTTCATAAATAGCTTCATCTCATCGTAGTATACAAATATTTCATTTACGAAAATTCTAGTAACTAGGGCTTTTCAATCTGGAGATCGGCAAACTTTGTCTGTTTAATTAGGTACTAAAAACTCGTAAATAACCATTTGATATCCACTTGAATTATAACATAATTTAAGCACTACGTCAAGGAAAAAATAGCCTTCAAAAATTATTCAGCCATTTGACGTGACCTAAACTCCCAAATTACCAAAATATCTAGATTACATAAGCCAAACGGCCCAATATTTTCTAAAACACCTTTTTTGTGATAAAATTATTTAGTGCCCAGTTATATCGACACAGTTTGCCGACCTCCAGTTTGAAAAGACCCCACATCCAAGAGTTTTAATAAATGAAATAGTTGTAAATGACGATGAGATGAAGCTATTTAAGAATTTTCAGGCGGATGTTAATAATTTGATAAAAAGGGATCTGTACCACGGACTATTACTGTTCATAGCAACCCGTTTTTAAACTATTTACATTTTCATCCTTTAGCTGTGTATTCAATTTCCCTTTCCTTTCTGTTCAGCCTTATAATCTTCATTCCTCCTCTTCATTCCAGAGAGTGGATTGGCACTACGATTTCTTTCCATCGATAACTGAAACTCTCAAAATACGGGTACTTATCTTTAGACATTAGTGGAGGAAGATCTCTCTCTGTCTCTCTATTAGGACCTATGTTCTTCAAGAGCTTCGACCTCAGTAACAATGGTACAAGTCAGTATATTGTGATCAGCGGTACATGATACCTCACGAATTGGTCATAGGAGATCGATGTTTACACCATTATCGACGAGTTTTGCTTTCCACATAAGGAACTGGGAGATTCATTTGTCCAGGATAATCGTGGTTCGCTGCCCTATTTGCAGCTTCATTCCTGCATATACTGTTATGTATATTTATCATATGACTCCTGTATCACCCAGAGATAATTATTAATATTTCTTGCAATAACATTTTCAGAGAATCATCATTACTATACCACCAAATTAATTTTCTTGCTTCGCTTCGCTCATGTTTTGGTATAGGAATCCATCATTATCAGCACTGCAACCGATAAGAATGTATAAATACAAACGAAGAATTCATCAATTTTAAGTACTTATTATTGGAAAATTTGTGTTCTATTTTTTAATAATTAAGTGAAGATTGGTTCTATATTAATATGGAATAAAAAAATAGTAAATCATGTTTAATTAGTCGGCTTTTGGTGTTTTAGAAAATAGAGGAAGAGCTGACTGAAAAGAAGCTTTTCGTGAGAAGCCATATTTGCGACGTTACCAACGATGACCAAGTACAAACTGCCTTCAAGTGGATTGAAGAGAACGTTGGCCCTGTCAGCGTATTGGTGAACAACGCCGCTGCCTTCAAATTATCTCATATCACTGGTGAGAATACATAATCTGTATAAATATTCTTTGATTTGATTTTAGTTACTTATTCAAATGATTATTCCTTGTTTTGTTTAAATTTAGATATGGAAATGAGTTCTGTGAGGTCAGTGATCGACACTAACCTAACCGGTTTGTTGGAGACCACAATATACGGATACAAATCAATGAAGAAGAACGGAATTGACGATGGCCATATTATCAACATTAACAGGTGATTTAATTTTTGTTTCCCTCGATCTATGTATATGCTTTCTTTGGATAGGCACCTATGTAAAAAAAAAATCAGCTGGATAAAATTTTAAACTAAATACATAAAATGGATAAAATACTTGTATTTCTTCTGACTTATAAATCACAATAATGTATCATTAATGGCAAATATATTAATAGTTACAAATAACGAAGCTTTTAGAGAGTGATGTCATTAAGGCATTCTCACTTTTGATGTTTATACAATTTATTTCAAGTATATTAATATTTTTTCTTACATGGAATACAATTATATGGAATATTTAAGTAATCAAAATAGATATCCATCGAGACTACTTTATTCCAACTCCAATTAAAACTGATCGAAATTAATTTTTAATGTTGTTTTGAAATTATGATGCGTCCATTCTTTCTATTATTTTCCCCTTATTAAATTATGTATACACTATTATAGATTCCAATGCTATATATGGAATTTATTTACTTAAGAGCAAGTCTCCCCTGAGCTGTTACAGTATTAAATTTTGGCATTCAAAGAATAATTTACAAATCTTTATTTTACAAGGGAGTAGTAAAATTTGTATATGAAAATAAAATTAAAAAATCAATAAAAAAGATTATCAATATTATATAACAAAATAAACATTATGAAAACTGAACGTAAAAGAAAAGTCTGTAAATAGAAGTGTATGAAAAAGTAGATAGATATTTGGACATCGCGAAGAATAGTAATAATGTTTTTAAGTTTTTTTTTTTTCTTTCTTACCCTCCAAAATGTTTATTGAAACAATTACATATATAGTATACAATAATATACATGCAATAAATCCCTTCCACTGCCCGAGAGCATTTTAAGGCTTGGGGATAGCTAAGGGTTACATATGTGGCAGAAGGCCTTGTGACTTATATGTAACCCTTAGCTATCCCCAATCCTTAAAATGCTCTCGGGCAGTGGAAGGAATTTATTGCATGTATATATTGTATTATACATAATATGTTTGTTGCTTAATGTTCTATTAATTTTAATGTTTTTAAGTCGGATTTTATTGTTATATATATATATATAAACAAAAATAATTATTTAAAATGGGAATTAGGTCACTTAACAATTATAAAATAAAATACTAAATGTTCATAGTTCCTGCTGTTTATCCGACGTTTCGATCCCGCTTTTTTTATTTGTTTTTTTTTTGTTAACAATATTGAACCTTTTCAATTTTTTAAAATAGAGCTTCGATACCCAGGACACACCTTTCAGGCCAGGGACACACCGACAGCCTCAGCACCGTCCACTAGCACAGATATTAAGATACTTTATATATATATATATATATATATATATATATATATATATATATATATATATATATATATATATATATATATATATGTGCTTAATATATGTAGCGGACAGCCTCAGCACCGTCCACTAGCACAGATATTAAGATACTTTATATATATATATATATATATATATATATATATATATATATATATATATATATATATATATGTGTGTGCTTAGTGAGGCTGTCGGTGTGTCCCTGGCCTGGTCGAAGCTCTATTTTTTAAAATTCTAGTTTTGAAGAGGATCCCATGGTTGACTAATAAAAAGAAAATACCGGGATCGAAACGTCAATAAACAGAAGAAATGAACATTCAATAGTTTATTGAATAATATATATATATTTCTTTTTTTTTTTTTTTTCTGGGAACACTCTAGCTCATTGTGGGGTAAACTTCATCACTTACAAATTTGATGTCATTTATTATAATAACTTTTATGCCATCGATAATAATAATATATTTTATAAGTGAAATAATGACTAATGTCATTATTGTTTTAGCGTTTTGGGACACAGAATTATGATGACAGATGCTTCTCTTTACACAGCAACAAAACACGGAGTGACAGTCCTGTCCGAAACCTTAAGAATGGAACTTAAAGAAAAGAAAACTAAAATAAGGGTGACGGTAAATATAATTTTATCATCTGTTTTCTTTTATACAAATTACAAAAATAAAATTTGAAATTTATATTTTTGGGTGTTATTTTTTTTCCTAGAGCATAAGTCCTGGAGCAGTTAAAACATCCATGATACAGTGGTACCTTGATCGAAACCCCGGTGCACCATGTCTGGAACCAGAAGACATAGCTGATTCAGTAATTTACGCGTTATCGGCACCAGCCACTGTTAACGTAAGTTATTTAATTTGTAAATAATATTATTAAAATATGAATATAAAAATAACACATCTAGCCAACCTTTTTTTTCTATAGTTTTGGAGGATAAGATAACAACACCATAATTGCAATTTTTTCTAGACAGAAATAATTTATTTATTAAGTATAGAAAATAAAAAATATTAGTTTTCATGTTATATACCGTGTCTTTTAACTATTGACTATTATAACTTTTTTTTTTAATAAAATATAAATTTAAATTTAAAAATCAAACATATTGCTGTTTGATAAAATTACACACATAAATTTACACGAAAAGGTTTGACTTCATATTAGTATTATAATATTCTATTACTTTATGAGAAAGTGAATTTTCACTTTTAAGTTTGAATCAAAATATTTTTATTTTTTTTTATCTGACAAGCCAATAATTCTAGAATTATATATTATTAAGATTTATTACTGAATAAATCATTTGACAGATAAAAACAGCAGGTAAAACAACAACATTACAAAAAACAAGTATTAATGACCACTTTAGAGTGAATAAATAAAAAACAAACCATAAATAATAACAATAATATTTAAAATGAAATAGTGGTATATTTTTCAATGCGTTAGTAATAAATACAATTATTCTGATAAAAAAACTACATCTAGAATAAAATAAGTTTGGCTAAATTAGGTTTATTTATATTTTTACTTATATTAATTTATTTTCCTTTTTTTTTTTAGATATCAGAAATTACTGTGGTACCTGTATAATAAATCTTCTGCGAAAAGGAAAAATCAAGAGAACTAAAAGAGAAACTTTAAATTTATTTTTTATAAAATAAATTATAATAATAAATCATAGATGTTTTTTTTTGTTTTAATTATTAATCCAATTTTAAGTTTTCTTAAGGTATTTAATTACCATGATAAATAAAACTTTTTGAAATATAAACGTTTAAATTTCAAACTGCTTGTAACTAAAGTTGTTGATTTGGTCATTTCTTTTAATATTTGCAATTTAATATTATAAATACATGCAATGTATTAAGAATTCACTTAATTAATTTCAAAGAATGAATGAAAATATATTTGTACCATAAATTGGTTAGATTATGGAAAACAAAACATTAAAATAATTTATTTGTTTGGATGTGGAAATTAAAAAAAAAAGTAGTTGTAATTCAACATTAAAGTTAAAAGAAAGTTGAGTGAGCCTTATTTCATTTTTACAAAATAAATATTATTTTCTCATATAGTTATAGTAGTAAAAAACATAGTTTTCTTGAAAAAAATAAATAATAAAAGATGAAGAAGATTCAGTTCCAAAAAGCGTCTTCGAGGATTGAATCAAGAGAAAGATGGGATAGAGGAAGATGACTAAGGTGAAGGACGTCCTGGAATGAAAGAACGAAAATTAGACGTGGCACATTTACGTGGCAAATAAAACGAAATAAGTAAAATTGTTAAAAACTATTTGTTTTGATTTGTTTGTTTCACATTATAAACAACAAATTTGAGGATATATGCCTATAAAAAGATATTACGTACAACTGCTAATTAATAAGTTCATCTCCCTACTTTATTACAAATAAAATCATCCATAACGACCTAAATGTTCCTTATGTTTTAATGACATTAATGTTTCTTATGATTCGCATCTCTCCCAATCCAGCTACCTCTCCTTCCATAACAAACTTTAAAAACATCCCAACCCTATCGTTTCTAACCTTGCTTCATCTTCAATTCCTGATAACCCTCCGAGGCGACTGAAAAGAAGATGGCCCCATGATCTCCTAATGTAGACATATCATTAGAGTGCTACAATTAGTTAGTTTCTCAACAAGTGTTTTCACGTCATTATAGCCATATGTTCAAATTTACTAAATGTATTTATTTAATACAGTTGTAAATATCATTAAGAAACAAAACAAAAAAACATATTTCAGAAGTCATCTGTATCCCTCTATCAACAATGAGAGAACGGGTATAATAACTTTGAGTACAGTATGGTGGGGATCAGAGATGGATCGGTGGAGCAACAGAGTGGCCAAGGTGAGCGGAGCCAGCGAGGGCATAGGGGAAGCCATCGTGCGGCGGCTGGCTGCGGAGGGGATGAAGGAAGTTTGGGAAGTTTATATCTGATCCTTTTTTTTTAATTTGTTGTGTTTGTTCCAGGAAATATTTTCAACTATCCTGGTTGGCTAAAAAACCTTAGTAGGACAAAATTCCATGTTTCTTGCCAAGTCAGTATTTACATGGCAAAGCACGTAATAGCTAATATATTTAATAAATATTGGTACAATAAGGATTGGTGTACATCATTCACTTGTTTGGTATATTGAGAAGAAATCTGTTATTCAAGAGATTTATATCTTCTGACCAGTTTTTGTATTTTTAATTTGTTGAGCATAATATTATTTATTTATTTATTATTATTTATTTATTTAGCCCTGGCCAGGAGGGAGGAGATGCTCAAGGTGAGTCCCGATCAGCGGCTGAGGAAGGAGTAGAGGATAAGGAACTAGTGTGGCTCAGAGAATGCTCAAGTAACCATTTTGACAAGACCTTGTTTTATGGAATTGTGACCTGCTTTGAATATTAATGTAGTCATCAAATTGGAAAATAAGTGAAATAAAAATATTTATACGACTTTGTAAAAAAAAAAATTAAACCAAAAAGCAAATTAAATATTTGTTATTGAGATAAATAAAATTTTGAATATTTTAGAGGAAGGAGATGGTCCGGGGTGGAGGTCATAATATGGCTAAAATAGTAAATAAAAAACTGCAGTATGTTCTTTAGACCACACGATAGAAGTGAAAACGTCAACAAGCCGAGATTAATTATATGAAATATAATCTTCCATATTTACCTATTGTCTATTTCATTTATTCTTTTAAGCATTTGCTTCTCCTACATTGAGTTTTTTACATCATAGTTATTGTCTAATTTAAGGTTATTGAGTGTGAGATTGATATATTTTGCCAAATTTTTCAGTTTCCCCATTACTAATGGTAGGACTGTGTGGTAGTCAATGCCCTATATTATGTCACAAATAAGACCCTACACCATGACCTTAACATCCCATTAGTCCTCGACATCATCCCATCCAGATTCTCAAACTTTCACCAGAGCCTTATCCATCATCCAAATCCTCTAGCTCAATCCCTATCCAGCTCCATTCATCCCTACAATCCTCCACGAAGGTTTAAACGGCAGTGGCCCAGAGATCTCTTGTAAATATGCTTCTGGAGTCCTGGCAATGGCCAGCTTCTCCACTCATGTCTCGTCTGTGGCTCTAGTGCCCTCTTTCAATCTCCACTGGCTTCTAATACTAGTGATGCGGCTGGAAAAGTGGCACTGGGAGTCTGCTGGAGTCTTGCTTTACCTTCCACATGTGGAGGAAAAAGCGTGGCTCGGAGATTCCTGGGCGAATGTATATATTGTATATAGGTATGATTGTGTTTAGAAGTTTCTATTTTATGTTATTGGTTAATTTTTTTTCTTTTATTTACTTTCTTCATCAGTATTATTTATTTACTTTTTATATTTATATTTATTTCTCTATTATTATTATATATTGTTTGAATGAGAACTCTTAGCCCTAATACTTATAGCCCTCCAGTAGTGGCTGATTGTATTATTATTCAATAAATAGATTAAAAAAAAAAAAAAAGGATTGTGTGGAGCGCCACTTTTATGTAGCCGTGGTGTGGCCAATGATTTATGGAACTCTAATATGATTTTTTATTTTATAAAATTTATTTTGCATTATACTTCCAACTGCATTTCAACGCAACATGCAAATGTGTTTATTTTGTATCCGCTTTTCTTGACAATTATTTATATTACGAGCATGAAAAATATCTTTTTCACATTTTTTACACTTTTTTAGTCTTTATCCACACCACATTAATCACCACATTTAGTCTTTAACACCACATTTTTTAGTCTTTATCCAGCCTGACCGAATAAGACGGAGGAAGGAAGAAAAAGGAAGAGTGGATTCGGATAATTAATAATTCAAAAGTGAAATATGGTGTACTTGTCATTTATATAGAATTTTACTATTGGTGCGTTCATGAAGTTGTGTTCGATGTGATTAGAAATAAACCAAGGTGCATTTACGATTTTTCGATTGTGCGGTTTCAATATTGTTTGTGTGGACGTGTTTTGTGGAACCTTAAATTTCTGCTGTGTATTTTCAAATAGGTGTTATTATAGTGGTGTATAATAGTCGCTTGTTTTTGTGTTGAGAGGAATCTGTAAGTCAATATATGTGACAATTGTTTGTATCTATATATTGCAATTTGTTTATTTGGGAAGTTTATATCTGATCATTTTTTTTTAATTTGTTGTGTTTGTTCCAGGAAATATTTTCAACTATCCTGGTTGGCTAAAAAACCTGAGTAGGACAAAATTCCATGTTTCTTGCCAAGTCAGTATTTACATGGCAAAGCATGTAATAGCTAATATATTTAATAAGTATTGGTACAATAAGGATTGGTGTACATCAGTCGCTTGTTTGGTATATTGAGAAGAAATCTGTAATTCAAGAGATTTGTATCTTCTGACCAGTTTTTGTATTTTTAATTTGTTGAGCATAATATTATTTATTTAATTAAGAATTTTATTGTTCACGATATTGATTATTATATGTCTAAATAAACAAATAAATACATTAAAAAATTAAGAATGATATCGATATTGAATGGTATCAATAATTAAATATAAGGCATACTATTTGCATTGTGGTTTCTCTAAATTCAAAGGTCAGAGTCATTCAGGCGGCTGACATTGAGTACGTTCAAGTGAATCGGCCTTCTAGAAAATTAGACAGAAGCTTTGGAATTTCACGCCTGCCATAAATAGTATCTGGTTGCATATTTTGCCGTTTTCATCGACCATAAACAATAAACATGAGTATTTCTGAGTACCAAAGTTTAAGGAGCGTACTATCAAAAGTTAATATGCCCAATAATAAATAATATTCTAAACATTTTTATTCATCTTTATATCATGATTAATAAAGTTTCTCATTAATAAAATTTACAACTGTATACAAATAAATATACATCCAGTCAATATGATACAGAGAAATACACTGGAATAAAAAATCTACCCCTTGTTAGCACTCTCATTAATAAATAATATTCTACATACATAATTTATTCAGTTTATTTCAAAACTTAAATAGGCGCTGGAACTCAACATTCTGAATTAAACAATGACTTATCTCCGAAGAGATTCTCTCGCTATAATTATTTCATCACAATTTTTCTTAGGTGGAGATATTTAATTTTGAAATAATATTTTTCATCTTCATTATTTGTGTTTATTGGAATTAACATTTATGTTTATATTTCTATCAGTAACGCCTTCCACAGAAGGAAACCGATCTATTTAAAAATATACTAACTTTAAATTTAAAAGCTACCACAGACCCCCACCTCCTGTAAAATCCTAGATTAATTCATAAGTCGTATATTTTGCTTTTCAAGGATATCGCGTTACCAATTTACTATTTGTATCTCTATATATGACAGGTGGCATGAATAGAGAAAATGTCAATAATCAAAGTTTAACCAAAATATATATTTAATTGTGGTTTTAAACAATATAAATCATTATGGATATTTGAAACAAGGACCATTGTAGCATGTAAACATTTTTATCAGTTCAATAAAATTTTTCGATTAAACCAGACAATATACTCATATTTATTCTGGCTGATAAATGACAATGATGTTTCATTAACGGTAAGCCCATTA